TTTACACATTATTGGAAGTGGGGTATTAAATCTACTATCCATTACTATCTATTTCGCTCTTCAGTTATGTTGTTTGCTTTATATATTTAGCTTTGGTATTTTGTACATATATATTTAAAATTGTCATATCTTCACCCTAGTTAGTTTGGTACAGTGCATAGAGCATCAGCCTGCAGATTGAGGTGTCCTGGGTTCAATTCCGGTCAAGGACACATGCCTAGGTTGTGGGCTCTGTCCCCAGTGGGGTGCATGGCAGTCAATCAGTGATTTTCTCTCATCATTCATGTTTCTCTCTCTCCCTTTCTTTCTGAAATCAATTAAATAAATAAAAAAGACTGGAATCTTCTTTTAAAATTGTCATATCTTCATGGTGAATTGGCCCTTTCGTCTGATATTAGCATAGCTGCCACTGCTATCGTTTAGCTATCATTTGCATATTAATAGCTTTTTCTATCCTTTTACTTTTAGCCTGTATGTGTGTTCTTAGATCTAAAGTTAGTCTTTTTTAGACAACATATACTAGTAGTTGGATCCTTTTTAAAAATTCTATCCATTCAGCCAGTCTATATCTTTTGATTGTGGACTTCAATGCACTTTATATTTAATGTAATTACTGATAGGGAAATACTGTTGTCATTTTGTTCATTGTTTTCGGTATGTTTTGTAGTTTTGACCATTTCCTCTCTTACTCCCTTCTCCTTTGTGTTTCATTGATTTTTTTTTTTTGAAGTGACATGCTTTGATTTTCTCCTCATTTCCTTTTGTGTACAATCTAGAGATATTTTCTTTGGTTACCATGTGGATTATATAAAAAAAATCTTAGTCATGACAACTTGAATTGCATACAAAAACTCCACTCCTTTATCTCTGCCTACCCTCACTTTGTTATTGATGTCACAAATTATACTTTATTTTGTACATAACAACATAGATTTATAGTTACTTTTTGCCTTTGCTTTTAAAATTCTATACAAAAACTAAAAGTGGTAGTTCAGGCATCTGCATTTGGTTTATATTCTGCATTTCTTTATAGTTGGTTCCTAGATTTTTGTTTCTTAGATTGGAGCCATATTCATCTGTTTATATGCCTTGTGAACTTTGTTGAGATTTGGGCATTTGAATAATTGACAAAGGTGTAAAGGCTTGAAGAGGTGCCTATAAGCCTGGCTGGAGGCTCTGAGACCTCCCAAACTTTTTCTGGAGATGTATCTTCTCTGAGTTTGTGTGTGTGCTTTCATTCTAGGATATACATCAGCTTTTAGCTGTCTTAATTTCCCTAAGAGACTTGCCCTGGTTTCTTCTCAGGAACTGTTTCAATTTTTATTGTATTCCTGTCTGTACTCTTTTGCACCCTCTGCTTAAAGAACTGTAGACACCCTGTTCTTCAATGCACCTGTGCTCTCTTCTGTTGTTCAGTGGCTTTCAACCAGCATCCAAATCATACCACCACTTCCACTAACTCTCCAAGTCAGTAGAATCTAGTCCCTCAAGCAACCTTCACACAACCAGAATGTAAGACACAAGAGCTTTCTGTCCTCAGGGAAGAGGCGGGAATTGGAAGTTTCCTCTCATTTGTGTCACACTGCTGAGTAGGGGGAGGGGCTAGGCTGAACAAAATGCCACAAACTTTTCAGTGCAGCTTCCTACTGGCTTTGTGTTCACCTGGGTGTTGTAGTTTCCCAATTTGTTTCCAGAGTTTGGTCCTTATATTGTTGTTACCTTAGTGTCTCCATGGGGAATGAGCTTCATGGATGATGTGACACCCCATCCACCTGTCTATTGTATTCACTAGTCACAAATAGCTAATAAAACTTTCAGAGTATCTATATATATATAAAAGGCTAATGTGCTAAGTGTCCATCCGACCGGTAGCTATGACACACACTGACCACCAGGGGGCAGACACTCAACGCAGGAGCTGCTGTGATGCGCACTGGCCATTTACAGGCACTGCGGAACTATCGCCCACAAAGCAACACTTGGCTTCCCCCAAGTGGGACACAGGCCCTGCCACCACCCCGGAGTGACACCCCACCAAATCACAGCCGACGCTGCCAAGACCCCATGGCACAAAATGTGGCCCAAAGCCCAGCCCAACCCAGAATCGGTGGCTATGGGCACCAGGTAATGACATCACGTAGTAACACCCAGCTTCCTCCCCCTAGCAACTAGCCTCCTTGGAGTTTCTTCAGTCCAGGAACCCGACTTGCTTTATAGCCAGGTGGAAACATGTTACACTTTAACCAAATGTCTGTGAAGCGTTTTCCCATGCCTCATCTCATTTGATCCTCACAGAAGTCCTGGAGTAGGTAGATAGGAGACTTGGTGGAATCCTATTTTCTTTTCATTAGCCGGAAAATGGAGATTTAGAAAGCTTAGAAACTTGACCCGACTGAAAAGAGGTAAGAAATGGTGGACCTTGAAAATGACTTCAGATTTTCTCACTGCGCAGAATATAGTCAAACACTGCTGCAGTTAAATCTTTTACCCTTTGTTCTTCCTGTGTGATCTACAATAATCTGCTTCATGTTGATATTTACTGCTGTGTTGCTGACAATTACCTGAAAGAGAAGTTGGGGTGCTTCACTAGCCTAGAAAAAGTTTAGCTAAATCAGAAAGCAGGTCTAATTAAGCAAATTTATTCTCTATCTATAAAATGCTAGGTTGACTTGCGCATGTGCGATACATGTAAAGCTCATGCTGGCGCCAATCACATGTGTGTTTTCATCTGTCATTGTCAATTGTGAATTTGGTTGACACTTCTATTATGGAGAAAGGGCCAATAGCGATATTAAAATACTAGAAGCCCGGTACAAGAATTCGTGCACAGGTGGGGTCCCTTGGGGTGGCCTCCGGAGATTGGGCCCCAGCTCACACCCGTCTCACAGTCTCACCTTGGCCTGGCGCCACCCACTCACCTTCTCCACCATTTGGTCTGCGGGATCATCAATCAGGGCTGGGCCCCCACCCGGCTCCCTCCGCGCCTGGGAGTTAGGTGGCGGCCCTGCCCCTGGTTGTTGTCTGCGGGGCAATCAGGCTCCTGCTCACACCTGCCTTCACCTGGCACCGCCAGCTCACCTGCTTCACCATCCTGCCACGGTCCCGCTCTCGTCGGGACTGGCAGCGCCTCCACTGCCGCCCCTTGGTGGTCAGTGCATGTCATAGTGAGTGGTCAAACTCCTGGCCGAACTAATGCCCAAAGGGACAATTTGCATATTAGGCTTTTATTATATAGGATTTCTTCTAATTAATTTCTGTTTAACGTGCACAAATTCATGCACCGGGCCACTAGTCTTAATGATAAAATATATACTTGGAAAACATGCTTATCCAGCAAGTTTTATTTACCTACACATCTACCAATGGTGTGCTACAAAATTAGAAATAGCTAAACCATTAGAATAAAAATCTTTTAGCTTTTAAATGAATTTTAAGTTTTAAATAGCACCACTGTTTATATGAAGTCAAATAATTGTATTAAATACAGAGGTATTTAGGATTTAATCTCATTAAAACTTTTTTTTTTGTTGAAAAATTGGGAACAGGAATGGAGAGGGCGAGATAGAAACATCCTATATAATGAGCTAATATGCTAATTAGACCAGATGGTGGAATGACCTTCTGGAACAACCAGTGGGCAAGGCCATGGGCCTGAGCCCCTTGCATGAATTTTGTGCATCGGGCCTCTAGTCAATGATAAGATAGAATCATCGATTAGCTGCCTCCTGCACGCCCCCCACCCACTGGAATCAAACCATATCCTCGTGATTCACATGTCGATGCTCAACCACTGAGCCATGCCAGCCAGGCCTAATCTCATTCTTATAATGGGAGATACTGAATTAAGTTTGGCCTAGTAAAAAAGTTCCCCAAATTTTACTCCAAAAACCTGATTTAAATAACGAAATCCTGGAAACATCAACCAGAAATGTTTTCAGGATTATTTAAGAAAAAATTTTCCTCTTGTGGGGTGAGGGTTTTGATAGCCCATAGAGTGTTCTATTTCACCTTCCCTTAATTATTTTGGAAACTATTAGATTATAGTAACATTAGAAATCCAGTGTGTTTAGTTTTGAGAAAACTTTCTGTGTAACAGGAAGCACCTGTTAAACAGGAGGCATTGAAACATTAATTTTGTATCACATGCACGCCTTTATTACTTTAGGTATAAACACACTTTTTTACTCATTAAAATTTTTATTCTGACTTGTAATTTCTAAGTGATTATAAACTTTAGTGGACTAAGATAATGCATTCGGTTGATTTTGTTTTGTGATCACAATCTGTTACAAACTTTGTATTTTCAAGACAAAGCAGAATGAGTAAAATTTAACTATATCCAGTGCAACCTCACTGGTTAAGCTCACCTGCATTGCTATGATGAGCAGCAGGCAGAAGAGGGCAAAGAGAAATTCAATGGGTAGGACCATGTATATATACATTCCTATAAGGTAACCATAAGTGGACCTATATATTGAATAATCAACTTCTATTTAATTAGTGATAATCTTGTCTTCTTACTAGGGTATATATCCTCGAAGGCAGGTATCACCTCTATTCAAAATTGTATCTTCCTACTCCCACCCCTATTCACACATTATAAATTTGTAGGCAACAGACTGAGCTCAACAGCTTTGATTAAAGTTAGAGCTATTTCTAGTTGTTTGTCATTTTTTGTTATATATTTTCTCCCTAACATAAAAATTATGTTCCTCATAATTTTTAATAATTCTATTTGAACTTTAAAACATCTCAGTTCAAAAGGACAAGGCATGACACCATGCCAGCCATCTCCAAGATAAAAAAGTCTCACCTAAGATTCTGAAGGTACACTTTTCTTTGAATTCTACAAAATAACTGAGTTTGCCATTTAATAGCAGTCTCTCATCTGATACAACATTATTTAAGTACGAATCTACCCTGGCTAATAAAAGCAAATGAAACTCAGAATTGTTACTAATTCTGAAGTCATGACTTTTTAAAGAGATTAAGACAGCAAATAAAATTGGAGAAAAGTTATTCTTTATTGAAAAATACCAATAATACTGACAGACTTCAAAAGCAGTTCAGGCTTCCAGAATACAAAGTACTCAATACATTTTTTTCAAACCTGTTTGCATTTCAAACAAACAGCATTTTTGTAAATCAAGTTTGATAACCTGACTAAAAATATTTTCCAGCTTTATTATTTATGGAGTGCACATCTTTAAAGTGGGGTCAATGAGGTGGGCAGGAGCAGAATGCACCTGGGCTGTGCAGCAGACGATAGCCACATGTCCCACAACTCCCGGGCTGGCAACAAAAACACTGCACGAGATAGCTGCCCTCCAGTGTCAGAGGATCTTGAGAAATAGCATATCAAGAGATAGCCAGCTTTTCTTAATTTACACATTTTCATTTACATTTAAATTGCTTTTTGAAGGAAATCTTTAAGAATGACAGTGTAATTAATGTCATCCAATAACTCTGAATTTAAAAAAACAACTATAATGAAAGAATTGAACTGTTACCATCAAAACAGTCTTTGCTGAGCTATGAGTAATAATTCTATGCTTTTTTAGATGCAACAAAATTAATACATATGCAAGTTTAATTTGAAACCACAAAAATTATGTAGGCTCAGATAGTAGCAGTGTTCACTTTATTACTAATAGCTTAACTGGAACAACCACTCTACTCATTCCACCAGCAGGAATAGCAGCACCAAGACCTAAAATTCTTTGTGTAAAAAGGCTTATGTCATTTTCCAAGTCCCATTCTTTGCATGCTCCAATTCTTGTTATCTTATTTAAAACATAAAAGCAACAGGATTTGGAGAGTTACTATTTGCTGTATTAAAAACAGTTATACAGCATCTTGTACTTCAAAAAGCAAAATACTGTGAACGGCAACCCTTCTTCACAGCTCTAAACTTGAAGCTGCCAAGCAGTCACTGCTCGTGCCAACAGTGGTATTTCCACAGGAAAACAGCAGAAACTAAAGGAATCATGGCACAATGTATTTCTGAATTCTTTTATCTACCATTGGTCCTGGGGCTTAGAACCTTCCCCTCGTAGACTATATCTGCTGATTATTCCATCATCTTTAATGGAGGAAAGGCATCAGGTCATATAGCGCGTAATGGCTCTCAGAGCATAAAGGAGTTCGGCTTGCATCCTAGCTTCTATAAGAAGCAGATTAACATGAACCTGCATATAAAACATAACATTTAAGGTAAGGTTATAATCATTCGCAATTAGTTTTTCAGTGCGTCTAATAAAGAAACACCAAAAATCAAGCACATTTTCTGTGTTCCACTGAATAACTTAGAAGTCTTGGGTTTACTGACCAGAATATCAATTTTTCTTTTAAAATATATTTTTATTGATTTCAGAGGAAGGGAGAGCGAGATAGAAACATCGATGAGAGAAAATCATTGATCGGTTGCCTCCTGCACACCCCCTACTGGGGATCGAGGCCGAAATTCCGGCAAGTACCATGACTGGTTCATAGGTCAAGGCTCAACCACTAAGCCAAATTGGCTGGGCCAGAATATCAGTTTTTCAAAACAAAAGCTATCTGATGCTCTTTTTGGGTAGTTGTTTTGTGCTTTTATTTGTTTGATCACATCTCTTCTGGGAGGTATATTTCAGAAAATCTAGACAGTGCTTTATTAGAATATCAATTTCCCAAGTCAAATAATCATTTCTATATAAAGATGAATCAAAGACTAGACCAGGTATTTCTAACAAAACATTTTTTTTTAAAGAGCTCTTGTACAACAGTCTTCTCCTAAGTGGTGACAGCCACGCCAGCACTTTAAAGATGGGCCAGACCACCTGTCTTTATTCTTTTACTCTAGCACAGTGGTTCTCAACCTTGGCTGCACATTAGAATCACCTGGGAATCTTTTTAAAATCCTGATTTCTGGGCTTCATTCTGCGGAAATTGTTTCTTTGTTACTAATGTTGTGGCCCCACCCCACAACAAAGAACCAGAATTTCCGGAGGATGAGGCCCAGAAATCAGGATTTTAAAAAGATTCCCAGGTGATTCTAATGTGCAGCCAAGGTTGAGAACCACTGCTCCAGCACCATGAGGTTCTCTCCCAAGCAGTATCTGAGGCAGCTGCGCTGGAATGTTTTTGGTTGGGAGAGGTGATGGAAAGGTTCGAGATGCTTTAGATTAGGTGAAGGAGAACAAGAATCACTAAGTTACAGAGTAAACAAGCCACAATAGGTGCATACCTTCTCGGAGTGCTTGAACTGCCTCCAGAAGCTATCATACATTCTTTTTGTAACCTTTTCAGGAGTGCAAACAATAGTTTTGATATAAACTTTAAAGCTACGATCCAATAGCTGGTTAATTTCACCATAGTCATAGTCATCATATCTGTTAAAAGACAAAGTGAGAACCATGTTTTCGATATATGAGCTGTTTTCTTCTTACAAAAGTACGGAAACCACTCGTAAATGCTAATTCTTTTTTCCTCTTTGTGTAGGCAGCTGTCCCCCCGGCAAATAACAACTTTACAATGTTTAAATGGGAGTGGATTAGTGAGTGGAAATGGATAAGAAATAGAAGTTAGGGAGAGGAACAAAAAATTTGCCAGTGCCCAAACAATAGTATGTATTTACAATCATGAATAAGCAACCACACTGAGGTACAAATTCTGGAAACAGTTTATGAATATTGCTGAAATTAGACAATATTTATTATTGGTACTGTTACATGATATATAAATTGTAATCCACTTGTGTAAATGAAGTAATTAGAATTCTTTTTCCCATGTTCCCAAGTTTCTTGGGTTATATGAGTAAAAAAAGGGGGGGGGGGTGGTTTCCTGAGGAAAGATGGTCTATATACGGCCTCACGGTGTCTTCTACACTTAGGAGACACTGTTCTGATTTAAGCCAAGATGGTCAAAGGCTCCAGTGTCTGCTCTACCCCACTATGTGATGATTTCTAGAACACCCAAGGACTAAAATCTCCTATTTGTTTTTCAGTGGAAAAGGGAGAAAGTTCTTGCAAAGCTGGTCCTAACCATTTAGGAGGTTAAAGTCAATAGCTAAAATAATCAGAAAGTGCTGTGGCATGGAGTTTGTGTGCATGTGTCAGAAAGCAGTATATAATAGCTGCACTCCCTATGTAACATAATAATGTGGCTGAATACCTAAGAGTCAGGACATGAACGTTTTGCACTTTGATGAAGTATCATGGGAGTACGGAGTAGCTTTTGAAGGAGCTTGAGAACAGCCAGAGGGGTACTATAAAGGTACTAAGTTCCAAGAAGGTAGAAATGTAAGTGTATCAGGAAATAGATAATACTTGACCTCCCTCCTCTTCCCTGGAAGCATCTTGTCAATGTCCCTAACTTTCCCTCCCGCCTAGCTAAGAAAGAGGAAACAAACCAAGCTGTTATAAATTGGTTCTCTGAAGCATAAGCATAAAAATAAGCTACTGGAAAGGGGATTATTTTGAGCTTGTGTATCTGTGTACATATGTGTTCCAAGTACCTGAATAGTTTAGTCCAATGGAAAATACCTCTTTGTAAACATAAGAAAACAGACTAACCTTATTCCAAACATGCAGTGAATATAGTTCCAAATAGCCCGTCTGAGCATTGAGGTATCAACATCTTTGTGCATTGCCATTGTATTATAAGTAAGATTGTAAGCAATGTGAAATTTTTCATCAATCAACTGTCCCACATCTGGATAAAGGCGATTTACCAAAGAATAACCATGGTCTTCCCAGCAATAGTCCTAAATACAGAGAATAGAATAAATGTGAATAATTAAAATGTGGCCAAGTATTATCCTATGTCCACCACTCTGCACTGTGGTGAGACTGTCAGTTGGAATCCACTGCTGTTCTAGTACATCCCTAGCTCTCAGCTTCACTTGCACTCCAGTCTGATATTTTCAATTTCTATACTACAACATACAAAAGGTTGTTTATTACTCAGCGAGTTTAAAAACCAATGGACTCTCTTCCTTACACATAGGCCAACGTTTTCAGCTTTCTCTCTGTCTCCTCCCTCAGCATCCAGAGGAGCCCTCTCTCCTTTTCCATCACTGCACCCATCCAAACGGTCCTCAAGTTTTATTTAGAAATATCCATCACTCATTCCTTTTCCTCCTACTGCATCTTTTGACTCTCAGACCTGTTTACTGGGTCTCCCAGTTAGATTTTCCACATTAAATCTCCCTGCTTCCTTTCTACCTCAAACAAAACTTAATAAAGCACCCACTTCTATGTTGCTCCCATATGTATTTTCCTAAAAACCTCTGATATCATGTAATTACTCTGGTCAAAACCTACAAACCTGACCAATTTCCCACTAGTCAGAAGTAGGAACCCTTTGCTTAAAGCTCACAGCAGCCCAGCCAGTTTCTCTGATTCCTCCCTCACTATATCCCTTAACCTAAACTCAATTACTGTCCTCTGCATATAATGCCCATGCGTTTGGATCATTCAATCATCTCAATTCCTAATCTCCCTCCACAAGATGTCCAGCCCTCCTGATTGCTTTAATTCTAATCTATTATATTTCATGATACAATTTCACTATCAAGTAGAAACACACTATTAACTTCCTTGTGTCTATTTTTGTTCCCTTAAATAATCTTAGTTCCCTGAGCAAAGAAATGAAATCTTATAGCTCTCAAGTATTTTCATAATCCTAGCAAAATAGTTATTAACACAGGCCCCTCACAATATGGAAAAGTTTGGAATATCAACTCATTTACCTAAATTAAGTATTTATACATTATTCTAAAATACCTTAAAAATACAGTATATTTCTACTGATGGACTAGAAGTAGTCTTATAAAACTAGAGCACAGAATAAATATTTGCTAACTGATGATTGTCAACTTTTATTCTGGTACTAGGGGATACAGCTACTGTTGCTTCTAACATGCTTGCAAAACACTCAGCACAGTGCCTCCTGCAAAACAAAAAAAGAGGAGGAGCCTGGTATCCTGGAGGACCACCAGTTCCTTATGTTTCCATGGATAGAAGTGCACTGGGGAAATTTACTTTATATTTCAAAGTTAATGATTTGGGAGCTAAAGAAACTGGGCCCATAAACAATAATTCTATTCCCAACATCACTAACTTTATTCACTGAGAGATAGCTGTTAAGTAATTATGGAATATTTATTTATGTGAATCCCCCCAAAGTTTAAATTTAAAATCCTCAAAAATTCTCATTGCCTCAAATAACATTCAGTTCATATTTTAAAGGGATTTGGGATGCTGTAACTGCCATGCTTTATTTTCTGAGGTATCTGTATTTAAACACATCTTGCACCTCTGCTCTCCACCTACACATAATGCTTGATATGCTGAGGACATTTCTCTTGTCATTCAGGACTGGTGCTTATCAGGGCAGAAATCAGAAATCGCCTCATTGGGGCTCAGTAGGAGGGGGAGAAAAACCAATGCTAGCTACATTCAAATACAACTGTTATTTATTGTTTAGTTGTATTAGAACTTTGAGTTTTTATGCATCATCTGGGAACCTAACCACCACTGTAATTTTGTTTTATGGGTGAATGTGTTTTGAATTCTGAAATTTGATTTATGAACTTTAATAATATATACACCTTTAACAGTAGAATAAATATATCTAAGGGAACTGCCTGTATATAGAAAAGTTACTTCTTTCTGCAACATTTTATACTTCTCAAATCCACGTGGCTCTTTCTTATTTTAAGTCAAATTGAGTTATTTCAAACCAATTACTAGTATGTGTATACAATATGTTGCAATTTTACCTGGACTCGAAATGTTGGAACGTGCATCCCATGTCTAGAGAAATCCTTATAGCCATAACTAGTATCCTCAAAGTGACGAGATATCTCTCTTGCTGGTGTAACTTCATCATCATCTGAAATAATTATAAGAACTACTGAAAACTTTTAAAAAACAGGATGCTAGTTAAAATTCATTTTACCATTAACAAGTAAAAATAGGATAACCTTTTCTTTGACCAACATCAACTACAATAGTCTTCAAACTATAAAGAGAAATAGCTCACTTACCAGTAAATGCAATATAATAAAAGTATATTTATTATCTACACTAATCAAAGACAAACATGCTAATTGACCGTACCTTCGCTATGCCCACAGCCAATCAGAGCGACTAAATGCAAATTAACCCAACCAAGATGGCGGCCGGCAGCCGCCGAGCAATCAGGAGGCTTGGTTGCCTGGGCAATGGAGGAAGCCAAGCTTCCCACCTGCCCTGAGCTGGCTGTGGCCTCAGCTCATGGCAACAAAGTTTCAATTATAGAAGACAAATAAATCCCAGATACCTGCTTTCAGCCAGCCTCCACTGGGAGCTTGGGTGGCTGGGGGCCATGGCCAGGATGCAAACAGCCATCAGCCCCTCACCCAGGCTGGCCAGGCACCCCAGCAGGACCCACCATCCTGAAGGGGCTGTGGCCAGCCTGCAAACAGCCATCAGCCCCTCACCCAGGATGGCCACACCCTCATGGGGTGAGGGTCCTTGCTGAGGGGCTTAGCCAGCCTGAAAACGGCCCTCAGCCCCTCACCCAGGCTGACCAGGCACCCCAGTGAGGACCCCCACACTGAAGGGGCTGTGGCCAGCCTGCAAACAGCCATCAGCCCCTCACCCAGGCTAGTCAGGCACCCCAGGGGGGACCCCTACCCTGAAGGGGCTGTGGGCAGCCTGCAAACAGCCATCAGCCCCTCAGCCAGGCACCCCACGGGGACCCCCACCCTGAAGGGGCTGTGGCCAGCCTGCAAACAGCCATCAGCCCCTCACCCAGGCTGGCCAGGCACTCCTATATAATAAAAGGGTAATATGCAAATTGACCCTAACAGCAGAATGACTGGGAATGACTGGTGACTATGACACACACTGACCACCAAGGGGCAGTTGCTCAATGCAGGAGCTGCCCCCTGGTGGTCAATGCGCTCCCACAGGGGGAGCTCTGCTCAGCCATAAGCCAGGTTGTCAGCTGCCAGTACTGCGTTGGTGGTGGGAGCCTCTCCCGCCTCCTCAGCAGCACTAAGGATGTCTGAATGCAGCTCAGGCCTGGTCCCTGCTGGCAAATGGACATCCCCGAGGGCTCCCGGGCTGCCAGAGGGATGTCTGACTGCCAGCTTAGGCCCAATCCCCCAGGGAGCGGGCCTAAGCCAGCAGGTGGTCATCCCCCGAGGGGTCCCAGACTGCAAGAGGGCACGGGCCGGGCTGAGGGACCCCCCCAAATGCACAAATTTTTGTGCACTGGGCCTCTAGTCCTATATAATAAAGAGCTAATATGCTAATGGTCATGACGCCTTTACAACGTAACGACCATTCAGCAGAAGGCTGCTTGCGAGACAGGGCAAAAGCGGGGAGGCGCCCAGAGGAGGCGGGACCATCCCGTGGCGTGTAGGGCGGGGTTGAGAGCCCGTAGCGCCCCCTCACCAATCCTTCACCACCCACTGCTCGCACTCAGCATGCCCACCGCCCACCTGCCAGGGGAAGGAGTGCGTGTGCCTCCAGGAAGCGGCGCTTGAAACTCCGCAGCAGGCGGGAGGCTTCCACGCTCTCCTCCGGCACCATGATGGGGCGGAAGCAGGAAGGCTCCCAGAGGCAGCAGGACCAGCCCGAGGCAACTCGTGGGACTGAGGGCAGGGATTGAAGTGGCCAGAGGGGCCGGGCGCAGGGCCAGGCATGCTTGAGCTCTGGGTGGAGAGGTTAGGATATCAAGGCAGGGTGGCAGGCAGGCTGCGCAATTTTGCGCGCCGGGTCACTAGTCTGTTATAAAAAAAAAAATACTCATCATTGAATTATTTGTGCTTTTCATCCAGACTCATTCTCCCTCTGTCTCCAGTTTATAGATAGTAGGTTCTACTTAAAAGTATGTATTCAAAAGTATGAACACCCTTTTGGATAATATTTATGGTAATAACAAATCAGCTTGCTCTAAACTTTGGCACTAGTACTATTTTTTTTATTATTAATGTCCAATAATATATAATAGCAGCCCAGTGCACAGATTTGTATACCAGTGGGGTCCCTTGGCCTGACCTGCAGGGATCAGGCCGAAACCGGCTCTCCGACCTCCCCCGAGGGGTCCCGGATGCGAGAGGGTGCAGGCCAGGCCGAGGTACCCCACCAGTGAACTATAGGGGCCGGGGAGGGACCACGGGAGGGCTCCAGGGTGTGTCCGGCCAGTCTCACCCAGTGCCTGTTGGCCAGACCCCAGCAGCAAGCTAACCTACTGGTCGGAGCATCTGCCCCCTGGTGGTCAGTGTGCATCATAGCGACTGGTCAAACAAACTGTTGGACAGGTCGAACGAACTGTAAGACACTTAGCATAATAGCACAAAGGTTTTAGAATGGTGAATGAAGGAAAGAAGTGTGTGTGTGTATGTGTGTGTGATTATTTTTACAATGTTTCCTGTACTGTTCTAAACCTTTCTGAACTATTTTTAGGAGTTGATGAGATTATAGTTTCAAGTAAGTAGAAAGAAAAACTTCTCAAGGAAAAACAAGCTTACAGGCATACCTCATCTTTTGCACTTCACAGATGATGTGTTTTCTTACAAATTGAGGGCAAGACCCTTCACTAGCAAAAATACTGTGATTCATGTTATTATAATACTTTCTTTATTGTGGTGGTCTGGAATTGAACCCTTAGTATCTCTGAGTTATGCCTGTATATAAATTAGATTTTTTCAAATGTCCTTCCACCTAGTCTAGTGCTATTTTCACTATAACTTCCTTTTCTAGGTTGCCTGCTTTATTTATAAGCAGTAATACCTATGCAATAGTCTCTAAGAGAAAAGACATGTTTGGATTGATGTTTAACAACTTTTAAATTTTCTCTCTCAAAAAAAATTGGGCTCTCTTTTGTAAGCTATAGAAGTTTTATCAGTATGTAACAGTTGTTTTACCTGAAGAGAAGACAAACATGCTCTCTCTTTTTTCTATTTCAAAACGTGAGGCCATCTCTTCCTGACTTGCTTCTTCTTCATCTCGACATTCCTGTAATTGCCTCATCTTTTCCATGAGGGCTTCGACCTCAAAGAAGGAATCACTTATCTGAAGAGAAAATATAATTAATGTTTCTTACACTAGTCAGAGGATGAAATTTTTGAATTTTAACAGAATATAGGAAAAATAAATCTTAAAATGTTAGTATATATGAGTGAATCAAAAATTGGGTTTGGTCTGTTACACACAGAGATATGCAGATTTGAAAATATAAGAAAAACTACTTTAAGAACACATTCTAATGTGTTTTTTTTACCTTAGAAAATTAGCAATGTCATTACTGTTAATGTTAAGTTTTAAAAATTAAAATTTAATATTACTTGTCAATTTAAAACAAATGATATTTTAAAAGTTAATTTTTATTTGCTCAATCAGTTTAAACAAGATGCACAAAGTATAAGTGGTTTTGCATCAACTATATACATTAGGCATATTGTCAACATATGTTTATCATCTCTAAATTATAGTAATCAGCCCTATCTTTCAATTTACCAATTACTGGTAAGAATGGAACATGTCCTTTAAAGGGCTGGAGTTGTCCACCTGACCTCTGCAAATGGGGCTGGCAGCTGTCACTTACTGGGATGACTACAGCAGTGGCATGTTTGTAATGACAGGTCTGACACTAGAGGAATGGCCAAATGGTCTTAGGCCAGCCAAACAATTTATACTTCTATACCCTGCTACATCCTTACTATGAAAGATGGTTCAAATCTGTAGAATTTATACCTTATAAAACATAGTAAGAAACCTTAAAATTTAAATCTCAGTGTTCAAATGCAAAATCAGTGTTTCCCCTTTATAAATTTCTTTTGCTATGAATGTTCTTCCCCCTACTCTTCTGGCTTACACCCATTGGTCCTTCAGGTGTCAGGTTACATGCTTCTCCTGAGTCCCCACCCCCACCAACTCAGTCACTCTAATTATTCTCAAATAGCACTCCGCTCTTTCCTTTAGAGAGTGAATCACAGTTTGTAATTGTTATTGCATGATAATGGTTTAATGCCTGCTTCCTTAAGACAAAACCCTTATAAGGGAAGGAGGCCTATTTAATTTATTAGTATATTTTCAGAATCTAGCATAGTGCCTTGTACATAGTATTCAAGAAATATTTGTTGCAGAATGACTGTCAGTATAAGTCTATGTTAAGAGAAAAATACTGTATACTTTTTTGGGGGTACTTATTTTCATATGATTCTAACAGTTACAACAAAGTGTCCTTCCTGTACTAAGTACTTTCTCTCATAATATCATGATGGAAAGTGTTTCTATGATGTATTGATGATTCTTCTGATGCATACCTCTCCATAATTATTCCGGAGACAGGATTAGTAGCCAAACAAAAAATTTAAAAAACTGAAAAGGGATTCTGTTGCTTAAGAGAAAGACCCAAGGTTTTTTGTTGTTTTTTTAATCAAGGTCTCTGTCAACTCACATTATCCCTTTATTATGTTAATTTGTTTACCCATTTTCCTCTAAAACTGTTCAAAATTTAAATATTCTTAGATGAGACACTTGATAGAAATGAGAGAAACAGTGTATTTTAATATTAAAATGTTGATATTATATGAGGAAATTATTTTTGGTTTGTTTTTTACCATTTGTATCTGAAGAATAAACTATATCAGATGGCTGTCAAGTCCCATCAGTGTGGGCTATAAACCTTCTAAAAGTAGCCAACTCAACACCTGAAAATAGGAAGCTTATCTACTACAGAAAACTTTTCTATTATTTCACTATTATTTTAATAGAAGGATAACTAAAAACAATCAAGTACTTTTCTTTAGCCTTGTACTATATCAAAAGTAGGGAAGAGCAATAATACAATTTCCAAGCATCCTAGCAACTGATACTACTCTCCCTTAGACCATCTCTTAACCTCTAAGCTTTGATAAATAATCACTGGCCATATGCAGACCTATAATGTGAACCCAACTAGCTCAAAAGAGGATGACAATGGTGGTCTTGGGCTTTGTCAGCAAAGCATGCTGATCAACCTTGAAAATGATTTTCCTTCATGTGCTGATCTCACCGTATGTAATTTAGCACCTGATAAATACCATTCTAGACCTTTTACCTTTTCAGAGACATTTCATTTAAAACTTACAAAAACCTTGTGTTTGATCTTTATACATGAAAGAACAGAAGCCCAGAGAGGTTAGATAACTTGCCCACAGTCAAATATATAAGTTAAAGGCAATTTAACCTGTTCAAATCTGTTTCAAAGGAATAATACAACGGAGAAAATCTATGCAAAGTATTCAGAAAGCTGTGATGCTATTTCTCTGATTTCTCTTGGAAACATAAAATAAGCCCTTGCACCTTCACTATAGCAAAAGAATGCAGAGGGAATTTTGACTCAAATTTGCTTATAGAAAATTCAACTCGTTCTCATCTGTTTCAAAGGAATAACAACTGAGAAAATATAAAAGCCAGAGAAAAGTAGAGGTGAAAGCATTTTTAAAAAATTACATTTGTTTTAATATTTATTTGTATGAAATTAAACATGAAAAAGAATTTTAAAAGGAGAAATTTCTAGGTCAAGGATAATTAAATCTTCTAAAAGATAAAAAATTAAGAAGCCAGCTTGTATCTTTTGTCCAGAAGGGAAGGAAAGGATGTGATTGGCATTAGGAAGTCCCTACCACCCTGCAGCACTATTCTCAACCTTCTCTCACTGCAGTAGCTCTTCAGTACTAGTTGGCTCTGATGGGGCACATGCTGGTGGCTCCTAATCCTAAAATTTCTCAAACATAACTTCCTAGGTGGTCTTATAAATTTGTATATCCCTTAGTACTGGACTAATGCTGGGTATTTGGAGAGAGTCAATAAATACTTGCTGAATGAACAGATATAGGGGCCCAACGGGAAAAAAAAACACCAAATAGCAATTATTGAGATTAGTCTTATGACAATCATGTAACAAGAGACTTACCGAAACATTTCCTGCTGAGTTGACCTGATTCTCTTCCACACTGTGATTGCCATTTGTAATGTCACAGATGCAGTAGTTATTAACAGAAGGAGGTCTGAATGTGTGGCCACCATCACAATGAATTTCTGGACTGATTCCACAGCCAAATGTGAACGAGGCAAGAGAATGATAGTGTGTGAGTAGAACTACTGCATGTACCAGTTCTGCAAGGGACCAGCTGTGCTCTTCAGCTTTTAGAAGTTGCTTAGGGGGGGAAAAGAATATTTTAATATTGGGGTATGGTGTTGATGAAAGTAGATAGTTCATCTTGGTATTTAATCTATTGAAAACAGAATTCGTCAGTATACAAAAGTTTGCATACAATTACAATTTGTGAAATGTAGACCCAAAATTTGCTAATTTTTATGAACTGTGTTCACCAATAGAGCTTAACATAATGTGATAATGATACATTATCATTTTTATTTTCTGAAATCCTGATTTAAAAATATAATAGAATGCATTTTGCAGTAAAAGCATATTAAAAGCAGTTACCTTATTTCAGATACTAGGTTATGAATGGATTAACTATGTTGTTCAAAGTTTCAAATCCAATATAATCTGTGTTCAAGGGGCAGCTACTGTATAAAATATGCCTGGTTTTTATTGTTTGTTTTAAATTATCATCAGCCTCCTCAAGGAATTTTTAAGATAGCGGTTTGTACAACTTGACAGAATATTCCTAAATTAGTCTATAACTCTTCAGAGTCTTACAATCTGTGTCCCTCCTGCTCCATAATCTTGTATAATTTTTGATTACTAAACAATATTGTATTAATCATATTCAAAGCTTGTATCTTCTTGATGTTTCAATTATGTAACAGTATCTAAAATGTTCTAACAAAAGATATAAATTTCTACTGCATGGTAGATACTTTTAGAGAATGCCAATCTACTTTCATTCTATTATATATTTTTTAAATATATTTTTATTAATTTCAGAGAGGAAGGAAGAGAGAATCATTGATTGGCTGTCTCCTGCATGCCCTACACTGGGGATCAAGCCCACAACCCAGGCATGTGCCCTGTTGGGGAATCAAACCGTGACCTCCTGGTTCATAGGTCAACACTGAGCCACGCCAGCAAGGCTATTCTATTATCTTTATTAATAAATAGAACCAGAAGGAAGTAGTTTAAGATGGTATTTTTAAAAGATATAAAACAAGATGCCACTTCACAGTTATCAGAATGGCTAAAATCCAAAACACTGATAACACCAAATGCTGGCAAGGGTGAAGAGCATAAGAATGCTCATTAACTGCTGGTGGGAATGCAAACTGGTACAGCCACTTTGGAAGACAGTTTATCACAAAGCTAAACATAGGCTTACTATACAATCCAGCAATCACTCAATTATTTACCCAACTGAGTTTAAAACTTATGTCCACCAAAAACCCTTCACATGAATGTTTATAGCAGCTTGATTCACAATTGCCCCAAACTGGAAGTAACCAAGATGTCCTTCAATAGGTGAATGGATAAACAAATGGTGGTACACTGGACCGTTTTCCAGCAATAAAAATGAGTGAGTGCCCTGGCCAGTGTGGTTCAGTTGGTTGAGCACTGTCTGTGCACCAAGAGGTCACATGCTTGGGTTGTGGGCTTGATTCCCCAATAGAGGCCATGCAGGAGGCACCCGATCATCAATGTTTCTCCCTCTCTCTCTAAAATTAATAAAAAACTATTCTTTTTTTTTTTTAAAGAACTATCAAGCCATTTAAAGGCATGTAGGGACCTTAAATACATACTGATAAATAAAAGAAGATAGTCTGAAAAGGCTACATACAGTACTGTATGATTCCAACTACATGACATTCTGGAAAAGGCAACAGTAAAAAGATCAGTTGTTGCAAGAGGTTAGGGGGAAGGAGAGATGAACAGGGGACTTTTAGAGCAGTAAAATTATTCTGTGTGATACTATAATGGTGGATACATGACATTATGCATTTGTCAAAACCCATAAAACTATACAGCTCAAAGAATGAACCTGAATGTAAATATAGTTAATAGTTTATATCAATATTGATTCATCAATTACATAAAATGCACCATACTAATAATGCTAGATGTTAATAATAGAAGAACTTGGGTATGTGTATTGGGAGAGTTTGAGGGGATAAAATATGGGAAGTCTGACACTTTTTTGTAAACCTAAAACTATTCTAAAGAGTCTATTGAAATTTTTTTTTTTTGGTGGTAAACACACAATACAATATACAGATGATATATTATATACCTGAAACCTGTATAATTAATCAATGTCACCCCAATAAATTCAATTTAAAAATTTTAATGGCCCCCTAGATATATTACTTTACTACTTACCTCAATGTGTTCTTTAGTAATAAGCCAAGGTCTGTGGGCTAACAATTTGTTAAGTTCTCCTAAATTTTGTAGTTTTTGAGGAGCATTCTCTAAGCCATTAAGCCACTTGGAGTCCCCACCAACATGAAGGAAATCATTTACATGGAGGTTCACTAAGTAGGAGCACTGATGTCTTGCTGCAGCCTTAACAGAAAACAAAAAGATTATTCTAATAAAATCTTGAACTACAAATCCTTTTTCTTTATAATGTTCAAAACAGCTAATTACAATTTTTATTAGTGTCTTTCAAATTTTCCTAAACTACAGAAATGAAGTTTTCATATAAACAGTTTAAAAATTTATATACCATAGAGAGCACCTCAGAAATATTCCAAGAACAAACAAAATATCTGATAAAATTATTTGAACATTAGAAACTTCACTTACATACCAACTTTCAAACACTCAACTTTCAAAAACTCAGATTAAGAAGAAACTTTAATTAGCACCACTTGTATCAGTGTGAATTATTTATAATAGTGAAACAGATACTGTATTCTAGTTTATTCTCAAAAGTATGTAAATACATGTTTCTTTTTCTGTTATACTTGAGAGCATACTTATTTGGAAAGAGGAAAAACAGACACTACCTAACAGGAATCCAATAAGAAGTCACAATATATGTATTTATCCCTATGTTTAAAGTATTGACCATTTCTTAAAAAGATTAATAAAGCAGGCAGAATTTTTCATTGAATGTTCACAAACCATTATTCCAATGTAGTGCCGGTAATGCAGGGGTAATGGCCCATCCATTTGCAGTAGATAGTGTTGAGTTTTTAAGAAACTTTCTAAATACTGTGGGTGAAAAACCATCACTAATGTAATGTTATCCAAACGACCCAAAGCAGCAAAAGAATCTGCAAATAAAGCATGCATTTGTGCGTCTTCACTCCCCACCTGAAGAATCTGTATAAAAGAGAGAAAACCAGGATTACATAAATTGTAAATTGGTGTTAAAGAAAATATGCATGCACTGCATTCTAAGTATCATCTAGAAGCAAATTAAATTTGGCTTAAGAGAAGAAAGGGGTTACAAATTTAACTCAACTGGCAGCAGATAGAACAGTCACATATTATGTAGAAGGGAATGAACATTAAAGGCCATCTAGAAAGCCTGCTTGCAGACCTGTCCAGAATCCAGATAAAGAAGCATATTTAGATTATCAAACTTGCAAAGCTTGCAAACAGATACTAAAGCTTTTCCTTATAACAATGCCTACTCTCACTCAATTTAAGGAGAACCAAAATTGACTAATAGCAAACAATCTGTAAATAAAGCATACGAGTAATTAAATACTTAAAGATCCAATCGAGCACTTGTACCAACCTGTGGAGATGGTCAAGACCAAGTAACTCAGCTCTGGACATGCCTAAATGATATCTAAATATAATCAGATGGATTATCATTGGTCAAAACAAGTCCTGCCTTTCCTTGATTAAATATGGGTGTTAGAAATACTAGAAATCAACATGACTACAACAGCTTTCTAATCCCACAGATTCACTGCCAAAGCATGATTAATTGTGAACAACTTTGCGTAAAACATGTTGTTGACTAATAATAACAACTGTTCAGATGCCAAGATGTAGGTCATGAAAGGTTTTCCTTAAAAGCACACAGTTCACTATGTACTTTCACAAACAACATACCTCCTTTTCTGGGATAAATCTGCTTGGTCCATGTCCTAGTGGTCGAGGAATTCTAATTCCAAGTTCCTAGAAAAGAAAATTACACCATCTCAGGCCTCCAGCAGTAAACAACATGAACTGAGGCTACAGGAAAGAGGGGGAAAACAACCAGTTGAACAGAGACAGGCTTGTTTTGGTGGTTGCTTTCATGGCCACATATACATACCAACCCCTCTGTTTGCATCACATAGCTGACAACAGCTTACAATATGACTCTGACGAAAACAATGAAACCTGTTTCACTTAAAGCAGAGTTTTGCATAAAGTACTTGGCAAAATGTCTAGAACAGAAAGTTCAGTACATAGCAGCCAACCCTGTGGATTGTCAGTGATACAAAATAAGACCAATGTGTTTGTACATCTAAAACACAACCAACCAAAACATTAATTCCCGTGCATCTTGTCAGGAAATGAAAAAGCAGTAGCCCCTACCTAGATGTCTTAAACTGAAAGAAGTATAATTATTATTACATCTATAATAATGGTTCACAATAAGGACAGAAATATTATGAAAAATAAAAAAAGTTATTTAAATCTACAAAAGAGAAAGTACTGCTGGACATGTTTTCTCTGTGGTTGAATAAAAGCAATTTTAGAGAAATTAATTTTGTTTGTGAGCCTTAAATTAAGTTTTTTATCTACAGGATGCCATCAACCTTGTTATATTTTAGGAAAGCTCAAGTAATTGTGAAATGTTTTTTTGCTTTTTGACATAGTGAATCTAGAATCCTGTACCTGGAATCTAGAATTCTATACCTTATGTAACAATGAAGTGTGGTTAACAAAAACTAAAAATCTACTGTTAAGGCTTCCATTCCCCCGCCCCCCAATACAGTGTGCTTTAGAAACAAAATAAAAATAATTCAACTTTATTATTTTTTTAAGGCTCATCAATCTGGTCTCTAAACAAAAACTTCTTAGTGTTTTAACAACTAAAGATTAACCCTTGCTTAGGTACAAATTACATTATATACAAAATTAATACAAATAGCATTTCTCTCCTCTCAATACTGCTTCAAAAAGTCCTTCATGATCTAAGCCAGATGCTTTCCTTGTAAAGAAAAATGGGGCGGGAGGGTTAAAGAAGGACATGTGGCAGCAATTCAAGAAATCTGGTCCAAGTGAATGAAAACCTTTTGAGCAGAATGGAGTTTTAAAAATTAAGCAGGCAGAACAAAATTGAAGATAATCTTTATTAGGAGAACTCAGGATTCAGATTCAAAGTATGCTATATTTACTAAATGAATCTATAGCATATACAATTCAAATAATCTTGTATTGGAGATCAGTGATCTTAATCAGATTATTCCACACTTATTCTGAAGATAGTAATGTTCTAACCACCACACACTTCAGTAGAGGAGGCACCCAATTCATTGGTCTATGTATGTGTCTTGATTTTAATATCTTATCATAAATACAAGAAAAAAACCCCACATTCCTGCTTTTCAATACATCATCTTGGTATAATTGCAGCCATATACATATAAAATAATGACTCTGTTAGCCTTTTTAACTGCCAAATCTCTAATCTAATTACATACAGTTCAAAAAATATATATTGGGCAAAACTTTAAGGCTAAAATCAGTATTTACCCCTTCTTATATCTTTACTATCTTATTTAAACAAAATGCGTTTTAAGAAAATATCCATTTCAAGGGTTTATTATTCATTTTTATAACGAGACATTATTCTTGGGACTTTAGTATATAAAAAGGTGACATATCAAGTGTGGGAGATTATTCAACAAATGATCTTGGGACAACTCCAAATGAAGTTGGAGCCTTAAATCATACTTTACTCCATAGTAAATGCGTTACATATAAAAAAATAAACTGAAAACCATTGCAGTGGTAGAACAGAACACATGAAATGGAGCAGGCGTAAGAATGCCACAAAATCCAAGTCATAAAACATAGGATTGATAAATGTGATGACAAGAATACTTTCACATGAGAAAAATAAGCATACAAAGTCAAAAGCCAACAGAAAACTGGGAAATATATTTATAATTCATATATCAAGGACTAAATTTCTTTAATATATAAAGACTCCTACAAATCATAAAGAAAACCCCAATAACCTGATAGAAAAATGAACAAAGAACACAATTAAAATAAAAGGAAATACAAATGGCTAAAAAAAAGATCCTTCACAATAAACCAACTACAACTTAACTACACTAAGATACCATTTTTCACCTAAGATTGTTTAAAATCTAATAGTTTGAAAGAAAATAAAAATGTTTGATAACAGGCTATGGGGGGGGGAGAAACATTCAATGCTTATACATTCTGATGAGTGTGTTTTGAAGTATGAGAAAAAAAGATCAAGAAATATATAATGAGTATAAATTACTACAACTTTTAGGGAGGGCAATCTTACCTAATAATAGACAAACATGCAAAATGACCATACCTTCACTATGCCTTAAGCCACGCCCACCAGCCAATCAGAGTGACTATATGCAAATTAACCCAACCAAGATGGCGGCCGGCAGCCACGGAGCTGGAGCAAGTAGGAGGCTTGGTTGCCCCAATGATGGAAGAAGCCAAGCTTCCTGGCTGGCTGCTGCCTCCTCTCAAGGCAACAAAGTTTCAATTATAGAAGGTAAATAAACCCCAGAAACCTGCTTCCAGCCACCATGGCCACAGAGCTGGAGCGAATAAAAAACAAAACAAAAAAAAGAAAGGCTGGGAGCTTTGGTCGCTGGGGGGCTGGGTCAGTCTGAAAACAGCCATCAGCCTCTCACCCAGGCTGGCCAGGCACCCCGGTGGAGACCCCCACCCTGAAGGGGGTGTGGGCAGCCTGAAAACGGCCCTCAGCCCCTCACCCAGGCTGGCCAGGCACTCCAGCGGGACCCCCACCCTGATCCGGGACAGTCGGCCCCCACCCGTGTAACAGGCCTCTATCCTATATAATAAAAGGGTAATATGTAAATTGACCCTAACAGCAGAACAACTGGGAATGACTGGTCACTATGACACACACTGACCACCAGGGGGCAGACGCTCAATGCAGGAGCTGCCCCCTGGTGGTCAGTGCGCTCCCACAGGGGGAGCTCTGCTCAGCCACAAGCCAGGCTGATGGCTGCCAGCACAGCAGTGGTGGCGGGAGCCTCTCCCGCCTCCTCAGCAGCACTAAGGATGTCCAACTGCAGCTTAGGTCTGCTCCCTGCTGGCAAGTGGACATCCCCCGAGGGCTCCCGGACTGCCAGAGGGATGTCTGACTGCCAGCTTGGGCCCAATCCCCCAGGGAGTGGGCCTAAGCCAGCAGGTGGACATCCTCCAAGGGGTCCCAGACTGCAAGAGGGCATAGCCCGGGCTGAGGGACACCCCCGAGTGCACAAACTTTTGTGCACCGGGCCTCTAGTCCTATATAATAAAAGCCTAATATGCTAAGTGTCCAATTGTCTGGTTGTCCATTCAACCAATCAAAGCATAATATGCTAATGATATGCTAAGGCCGCCCAACCGCTCGCTATGACATGCACTGACCACCAGGGGGCAGAAAGTCTACCAGTCGACCAGTCACTATGACGTGCACTGACCACCAGGAGGCAGACGCTCACCTCAGGAGCTTCCCCCTGGTGGTGAGTGTGCTCCCACAGGGGGAGCGCCGCTCAGCCAGAAGCCAGGCTCACAGCTGGCGAGCATAGCAGCGGTGGCAGGAGCCTTTCCCACCTCTGCGCAGCACTAAGCATGTCCAACTGCTGGCTTAGGCCCACTCCCCACTGTCAGTTGGACATCCTCCGAGGGCTCTTGGACTGCAAGAGGGCGCAGGCAGGGATGAGGGACCGCTACCTGAGTGCACAAATTTCGCGCACCGGGCCTCTAGTTTGTAATAATGATCAAAATGAAACAGTCACATATCTTTTGAATCAACAATTCCATCCTAAACATCAAGGTTACATATGTGAAATGTTATAGTACGTTAAAAGATAATCACTGTAACATTCATTGTTCTAAAAGTACAAGATATGCTCATCAACAGAGGACTGTGTCAATACATAGACAAGAACAGTGATTTTTAACCCTTTTCATTTCATTGCACACATAAACTAATTACTAAAATTCTGCAGCACACCAAAAAAATATATTTGTTGCCTATCTGACAAAAAAATAGGTATAATTTTGATTCATTCACACCAGATGGCTATTGTGTTGGCTGTTGTCATTTTTTATTTGACAATCTAAGGGAAAAAGAGGTCAGTGCCCCTGACTATTTAAATAGTAGGGTATTGATTGTTTTAAAATTATTGCAACAGTGATTTTTAACCCTTTTCATTTCATTGCACACATAAACTAATTACTAAAATTCTGCAGCACACCAAAAAAATATATTTGTTGCCTATCTGACAAAAAAATAGGTATAATTTTGATTCATTCACACCAGATGGCTATTGTGTTGGCTGTTGTCATTTTTTATTTGACAATCTAAGGGAAAAAGAGGTCAGTGCCCCTGACTATTTAAATAGTAGGGTATTGATTGTTTTAAAATTATTGCAGCACACTGTTGAAAATTGCTTGACTAGAATAACATGCATTGTACAAAATGAGGCAGTTTCTTATGGGTTGGCTTTAAATGATCTCCAAGGTATAGAATGTGGGGGCAAAAAAGCAAAGTATATAATTACTAGAGGCCGGGTGCACAAAATTCTTGCACTTGGGGGGAGGGGGTCACTCAGCCTGGCCTGCACCCTCTCACAGTACAGGAGCCCTCGGGGGATATCCGACTACTGGCTTAGGCCCACTCCCCGGCTTAAGCCAGCAGTTGGACATCCTTAGTGCTGCTGGTGTGCTCGCCAGCCATGAGCGTGGCTTCTGGCTGAGTGGCACTCCCTCTGTGGGAGCGCACTGACTACCAGAGGGAAGCTCCTGCATTGAGTGTCTGCCCCCTTGTGGTCAGTGCGCATTATAGCAACCAGTCGTTCCACTGATGAACCAAAGATTTGTATATTAGCCTTTTATTATACAGGATGTTCCTCTTTGTAAGGAGAGGGGGGAAACTTAGCAATTCCACTTCT